ACGGCCAGTTTTCAATGCTGATTTTTGTCAGAATGGAGTCTGGGGCAATAGCACTTAGACATATATACCACTTCACAGTTCTTTACAGCCCTCTCTAAGCAGTTTACAGAGTCAGCATATTGGCCCCAAAAATCTGAGTCCTCACTTTACCAACCTCGGAAGGATGGAAGGCTGAGTCAGCCTTGAGCCTGGTGAGATTTGAACTGCTGAACTGCAGGCAGCCAGCAGCCAGCAAAAGTAGCCTGCAGAACTGCATTCTAATTACTGCGCTCTAACCACTGCGCCACCACAGCTCTTTGTAAACACTTTGTGGCTCAATGTAAACATAAAGATTTCTTCCAGACAAAGAACTCCTAATGCACTTTAAAGATCCCTAAATCAAAAGCACAGAGTGCCTTCCAATGTTGTCACTATGTACCCTAAAAGCCTCCTATGGAAAAAGGGGGAGTGGGGTGACTTGTGGTCCCTGATTCTCGATTTATGACCACAATTGAGTTCAACATTTCTGTTGCTAAGTGAGATATTTGTTAAGTGAGTTTTGCCCCATTTTATGGACCTTTCTTATCACAGTTGTTAAGTGAATCTGGCATCCCCATTGACTTTGCTTGTCACAATGTCGTAAAAGGTAATCACGTGTGCCCCGGGATACTGCGACCATCATAAATATGAACCAGTTGCCAAGCATCCGAATTTTGATCACGTGACCATGGGGATGCTGCAATGGTTGTTAAGTATGAAAAATGGTTGTAAGTCGCTTTTCAGTGCCGTGATAACTTTGAACGGTCACTAAATGAACTACCTGTACCTGCCTACGCAACCCCAATCCTTGCCTGCCTTACTTTGCATTTGGGCTTGGCTTCCAGCCTGTTGAGCCAAGAAGTAAGGAGCAGGAAACAAGAATGTCTTTGCTCACTTCTCTCTTAAAAGAAGTTTTTGCTTCAGCTCTCAAATGCATCTAAGCCTTCCTTTAGCCTGAAGACGTATTTGCATTATACAGATGCCTTTCTTCCATGTTAAAACCGTTCAAATATTCACCTAATGATATTACGGTAGAGAAGTGTAAAGTGGCAATTTAAACATCTGGGTTTTTACCACTTTAACTCCAGACCTAGGAGCAGGGCCAGGTTTTCAGAGACCTGAGAAACAGCTGCAAGGGTAAGAGCTGTATAGATCTCACTACATACAGTATATTGACATGTATTTGTTGTGGCCCGCCAGTGGCCGGCGGACCTGGCGGCAGACTCGGACAGGGAGGAGGTTGGGGAGGAACATGGGCCAGTCCTGGAGTCTGGAGAAGGCTCTGATGAGTGCTCTGGGTTGGAGGCAGAGATGGGGCTAGGGCCAACCAACCATTATCAGCTACCTTCGGAGTTGGGGCTGAAGAACAGCTGGATCCTGTTCCCGATGTGCACATGTGCAGAGCTGCCAGGAGAAGGGAACAGTTAAAGAACAAGGGCCGACTCGGGAGTAAAGGCACATGTGGACAGTGAATGGCCCCTCCAATAGGGAATAAAGAGGAGTGAAAGGAGAGTGGAATTTGCAGGAGACAATTAGTTCATTTCATTAGTGTGAAGATCTGTTCGTGACTCTCAGAGACTGCTTGCCAAGTATTTTCTTGTACAGCATTGCAGCCTGATAAGGTCTGTGGTTGTAAATTCACCCTTGAAAGACTGTTTGCTGGGACTTTGCTGGATGTGAATGAGAGGAACTCATATTAGCTTAATAAAAAAGGGTTTTGTTGGGACAAGGAGTCTGCTTCATGCTTTTGTGAGGTCAGAACAGTATTGACTAAGATATGCATTATCAGTTCTACTATTCATTGGCTAATCTTAACCTCATTAATACTTGTCCTGTATTCCTGCCAGCTGAGAAAATATAAAGGCTTGTTTTGTATTCATGCCATTACTTAGTCATATCTATAGCAATCAGGAAAGCCTGATTTTGCATCTTGTTTTATGTATCTACTGTAACGCTGCACATTGATAAGACTATAAATTAAACATTTTATTAACACTCTACCATAGATGCCAAGTCCCCATGAGAGAAACATAGGATGCTCCCATTACATGCAGGGAAGAGTTGATTTTTTTTTTCTGCTCTCCCCCCCACACACACACACACACATGCTGCCAGAGGGAAAAAAATAAAGGGTGCTACAAAGAAGCTGAAGGAGAAGGGAAAACTCTAGGATCTAAGCCATTTCAGCGAATGGAATGGACCATTCTGATTGTAGCAGGGGTGATCAGGAGCTGTGGGGGCACAGTAGTTAAAATGTAGTATTGTAGGCTAACTCTACCCACAGCCAGGAGTCCGATTGTTGTGACCCCGACTCCCGAGCCTGTCCTAACAGAGGAAGAGGACTCAGAAGGTGATGGGGGGGAACTGACAAGGCCTCCCTCTTCAGGAGCCTCCTTTCTGGCGATGCCTCAGTTCCATCCGAAGGCCAGGAGGAACAGCCTGGGATGTGCCAGGAGGAAGGCATATCGGAGCACCAATTGATAGGGAGCGAGGATGATGAATCCTGGCTTGATCCCAGGCAGCGTCAGAGGAAGAAGTGTGTGCAGTAATGGAAGAGGCGTGGGAGGGCCAAAGATTGAGCTGAGTCACGGAGCCAAGCCCCACCAGGAATAAAAGTGGGTGGGATTGCTCTTCAGGCTTTGTGACGGACAAAGTTAAACCCTGAAAGTCACATTGTGATCTCTGAAATTCGGCTTGGATATATTTTGGACTGAACATTGCCTAAACTCTTGTCTCGTGCATAATTTGTTACTCCTGGAACGAACTGAAGATAAGTTCTCTTCTGCTTTATGGGAGTGAAAACGGTCTTGGCAGGCATTCGTCAGTTTGCTGCCAAAACCTTGGTCTGCCAAGAATTCTAATCTGTTTACCTAATAAAATATTGGCAGGCGTGCTTGGTATTACGTTTGCCTGTGTGAGGAAGGGGGACAGAACACCGATCCTGACTGGCTTGAGGTTGACTCAGCCTTCCATCCTTTCAAGGTCTGTAAAACGGGGACCCAGATTGTTGGGGGCAATATGCTGACATTGTAAACTGCCCAGAGAATGCTGTAAAGCACCATGGAGTGGTATATAAGTCTAAGTGCTTTGCAACCAATGCCAGATTTCTTCTTGGTGAGGTCCTAAGCTATATAAAGCTAGGAGGTCCTTTGTTAAGAAGTTACACCAAAAGGTCTCCCAAAGCTGCATACCAAAACAGGACCTTGGGTCAGCACAAAAGAACTGATCACATATATATGCCTTTTCATTACATAGAAAGCCAGTATAAAACTACATATAACAAATTGTGACACAAGATTTTAAAAACTACAGTATATAACTGTAAAAGCTGCGTAAGATTCTAAAAGCAAATAATCATAATCATCATCTGAAATTGTTTGTGTGAGACCCTGCCAGTTGTAAACTGTAGCTTGTTTAGCTTATGCCTAAATCCAGCAACTAAAATCCAATTCACTCTTTTTAATTATGTGGAAATAGTTGCATTGACTACGAAGAGATCATTGACCCCTCCAAGAAGGGTAGTGGTGGATGTCATATAAAGCCCATTATGTCACATGACATAATGTAACATAGAATGCCTCTACTCTGACAACTTAAAAGAAAGAAGGCTTCTATTTGGAACCAACATTTTCCAGAAACAGTTGGATTTGAATCTGTTTTTAAACCCTCAAGCTCAGACTTGGGTCATGTGGTCTTACACCATCAGAAAACGGAGGAAAGGACATTTTTAGGGCTGGGTTTAATGATATTTATGGCATGACTTGGAACACGAATGATTCCTCTGGTTGATGAAGGTCATAGAATCCAAAGACAGTCAGGTTTGAGGTGAAATATGCAATTGGAAACTTTCCTCAGACGACAAAGCTACAGTTAGCATTACACCACCGCCCACTGTCAATGTTCTGAAGTGGCCCCATCTCATCCTATCAGGACTCATTTTTGATCTCAGATTTTCCTGTCGTCCCTTAGTCATGAGAAGAATGCACACTGATTGGGGCAAAAGAAACAAGCCAGAGCAAATGCTCAAAACAGGTTTGATTTCAGTTGTGTGGAAGCCCAACTATAAATGCCGACAGACAATAAAAGTAATATAATGAAAGAGCCATGGGTAGATCTTGTTGATCTGAATAACAAAAGGGGGAAAAATCAGCTATTTGTCACTATCTGTCTTCTCCCAGGGTCCTGAACTGCCTCATTTAGCTTGGCAGCAAAAGAACCTTTCTGAAAAGATGAAATGCCTGGTGAAAATCAAGTTGATAAATACTACCTTCCAAACAAGTTTCTCTCTGGCAGGTAGCAGATAAATGTTCGTGTAAGTCTGGGAATCCTTTGCTGCTAAAACTACAGAGCTTTTTTTAAAAAATAAATGTCCCAGCTGTGAGCACTAAATTTGCCTGACTTTCAAGAAATAACATGTTGGCTGAAAATGTATTCTTACTACTGTACTACATAGTACAGTACTGTACTACATAGGAAACGGGGAATGAGCAAAATGTTTCTATACTAATTGTACTTCTGGTTTCAGAGGGGAGCTGGGAGAAACTAAATATATTTATAAAATCTCTCTTCCCTATCTCGTTCACATCTGAGCAGTATTGCACTGCTTATAAGGCAGGGAGCATGTGTGAGCTACATGTTTTGCTCTTGTTCAAAGGTAAAAGTAAAGGTTTCACTGTCAGTCATGTCTGACTCTAGGGGTCGGTGCTCATCTCCATTTCTTAGCCAAGGGAGCCAACATTGTCAAAAGACACTTCTGTGGTCATGTGGCCAGCATGACTATAACACCAAGGGGCACGGAACACTGTTATTTTCCCATCAAAGTGGTATCTATTTATCTACTTGCATTTGCATGCATTCAAACCCTACTCTTATTCAGAGTCAGAATGAAGTAGATGACATAGCTCTCATTCTGACTTCACTGTATGATGTCATAATACCCAATTGATAGGGTAGCATTACTATAAATTCAAATGAGCATATGGGCAATGTCTTGTGTCTTCATTGGCTTGGGGAAAACAATCTCAAGCTGCACTGAGGACTATACCAGCAGAAAGAGAAGCAAGGGCTCACAATTTACCCTGCTTACAGATGAATATAAGAGTAAGCTTTCCACATTCAATATATATTTTTTATTTATTGGGATGGGATTAGAAACTTTACAACTTTGTGTTACAGAAACCAGTAAAATATGTATTCCAGATAAGTTTTTCCAGAGTACTAATGGCTTAAACCTCTGACTGCAGCATTTGAACATATGATTTGGGTTGAATCTCTATTGATCTGAGAGATTATGGCAAGAGTAAACTAGCTTATTTTTTTATGCTTGCACCATTATATGTTCACCATCTTGAGTTATTTGTGAAAATTATAAAGGTGGGATACACATAAATAAACAAATATAAATTATATGCCAATTTTAATTTATAAATTATAAATCTTCATGTAAATTGCTGCATAAATTGAAGCATAGGGGCCAAAGTGCTGGACTGATACCAGAGACCTGGCTTCTAATCCATCTTCACCCACAAAAACACACTAGACTGCATATTCTTTCAGTCCAGACTACTTCACAGAATTGTGGTTGAAGGAGAAAATAAGAGAAGCAAGTGTTATGTATACTACTTAGAGTTCCTGAATGTAAAAAAGGGGGACATCAATCTATTAAGTAAATAAATAAGTTGGATATATACATGGAGATGTGAATATTGTTATATTTAGATTTGATATTAGAAATATGTGAAGAGTGAGGCAGGACACTGTTCTTCCTTTGATTTCTATGCTGCACAAAGGGGTTCTGTAAAGTGGTTGATTATGGCCAGAAATAGAGAAAATACTTAGTGTTTTTTTTCCTTGCGTTATTAAACAACAGAAGATGATGATGATAGATAACAGATAGATAGATAGATGATAGATATAGAGATAGGTAATATTGATTGCACAATATATTTTGCATAATACTGAACAGCTTAATCTAATCTGACAAGATGATAATGTAAAAATACAATAACAAATGTGTAAACGAAAAAATGATAGAGATTTTTTTTGTAAAAAAAATGCCACTTGGAAATGTATAAGTCTACACGAAATAGTTTCAGCACATTTGACAAAATGGCTTGAATTACTTCTGTGTCTCTCTAGAGAAGAACAATTTAGAATTACTTTTTATAAAAAACGTAAGTCAACAATCCAGTGCTGCAAAGTGCAGCATACTTTTCTAATTATAAAACAATTACTTGTACAAGTATTGATGATTTTTTGATATCTGTATAAATCCTTCACATGTTTGGAGAAATGTAAAATCATTTTAATAATCCCATTCATTTTAATCAAGAAATATTGCAAAAGTTGTGATGTAGCATTTCAATTTCTAATTAATATTTTCACCAATAAGGAGAGTATTATCATTTGATGTTAAATATTCTTCGAAATGGCCAATAAGTGCAAAATTCATGGGAGAATAGTACGCCTTTAAAATATTTCATTAGTAAATCAAAGTTGGAAGTTTAAATGGGAGATATTGTCCCTTGCTTTATTTCCTAGTAATGTAGTCATAAAGCCAGATGTCACGACTGCATCACTTAGTGACTGCAGTCCCAGTAACCCTAACCCTAACCCTAACCTATCCAAGCCATTCTGGGCTTGGTCCCTGCCAAGCCTCAGTAACATAAGGAACTGCCTTCAATTTCCTCCACCTGCAGTGAGGAAAAAAAAAAGCATAAAGCCACTTAAAGGAACCAAGGTGCACCAAAATGCCCCATTGTGATTTGCTCCTGGGCTATATAGGGCTGTCTTTGTGCTTGGGGGGGGGGAGATGAAAACACAATTTCCCCACCCCACCCCACTTTTTTTTTTCACAGCACAAAGCCAACCTCAGCCTTGCCAAACTTTGCAAAGAGCTCCTAGTTAGCACAAAGGGGTGTTTTGACACAACACCTTTAAGCTACCATGTGCTGCTGCTTCTTTTTTCCACCACACAAAGGCAGCTCCATACAGCTCATTGGCAGCAGGGGAAGGTCACCTAGGGTGGTGAAACAGAAGGACAGCTGGAAACCAAAAGGGCATAGATGGAAGGAGATGCCATGTCCCTGTAGTCATAAGTACCCGAATGTTGTTTTTGTGACCATGGAATTGCTGAAACTTCAAGCATGGTTCAGAAGTCCTTTCCTTTGCTGAACAAATCATCGTAAATTGTCACTGTATAGGGTTGCCAGGTGTCCACTATTTGAGCGGACAGTCCACTTTTTTCACATTATGTTCACTATTTTTTTTCACAAAATAGTGGACATTTTTTTTATTCAAAAGCTTTATGATGAAATGGTACGTAATCTAAAGCTGTACAGTCTAAGAGAATAAGGATAGGAGAATTGTGTTTTGTCTTTTTTTTTTATAAGTTAGAATGAGACAAAGATCAAATGCTCATTGCAATAATCACATTTTATACAACAGCACAAAAAATGCATTAAAGCAGTTATCTTTTGATATCGAAAATGTAGTGCTGAAGGTTTTTGCTGAATTTTCGAATTCTGCAAAGAAACGAGAAGAGTTGAAATCATTTTTTGAGTTTTGCGAGTCAGAATTCCATGAAGTTTTGCGCCATGTTCCAACACTTTGGGTAAGTTTGTTTAAAGCAGTCGAAAGACTTCTTTTAAACTGGATATCTCTAAAATCGTATTTTATTTCTCTTGGATCTGATGAGTGCCATAAGGTTATCTGGAACCTTATTTCGGATCAGGAAAATGAACTTGCAAAGGACGATGAACCAACAATTTCAGAATTGTATTTATATTTCACGCACTTCTTCATGTCAATAATGCAAGACACCCTACTGAAGCTGGAAAGCAAGAAAATTCTTGCATGTGATCTTCACATTATCATGTGTAAGCTGTGTGATTCTTTGCAAAACAAATACGATGAGCAGTTTTTTGGAATGAAAGTTTTATTTGCCTTACGTAAAAAACATTTGCCTGAGAATGCCGTGCAAAAGTTCAAGAAAGAAGCCATCAACGTGTATCAAAGAGCCATTGCGTACCTAGAAAAGTGGTATAATTTCACCGATTCAGTATATGAGACGCTAAGTTGTTTCAATCTAATTGATCGCAATAATCCTCCAACTTTAGAAGAAATGACGAACATCTGGTTATTATCACCATGGCGAGAAGAACTTCCACCCAACACACTCTTTGATGAAATTTCTGCCTTAGAAGAAGTTTATGTTCATCTGCAGGGCGATTCATCCCTTGATAAGTGGACATACTTTTTCAAGAAAGAGCCAGCTCCGAGTTTACTGAAACTGTTCCAGTACTGTGCATCAATTCCGGTATCAAATGCAAACGTTGAATGAATTTTCAGCATCATGGGAAATTTGGTGACTGACGAACGTAACCGACTGCTTGTACCATCAGTTCGAAGTGAACTTTGTATATTTTTTAATATTTATCAACGTTGTACTGAAATTAAAGAATTATTCCTTAAACACAAAGAATTGATCAAAGCTGCTCAGTCAAATAAAAAATACACACGACAGCAAAGTAAAATGTAATTTAATATTTTACATATTATTATAATATATTTGATGTTTTGAATTTTAAGTAAAGTTTTGAAGTGATTATTTTAATACGTGTTAAAATGTTTGTAAGAAAATATATAATTTAATTGTAAATTTTTTTTTTATTTTTTTACTACTTAAACCCCCCCCCCCGCTTGTCCGCTATTTTTTGGAAGCAGACCTGGCAACCCTATAAATTGAGAATGGCCTATACCAGGGGTGTCAAACTCAAGGCCCATGGGCCAGATCCGGCCCACAAGATGGTTAGATCCAGCTCGCGGGGCCATCCTGGAAACAGCAAAGGACTGGTCTGTGATGCCTCAGTGACAGCTAATCCGCTGATGGCCATCCAAGCCAGATCACGGGCTGCCTTAGATCCGCAGTGCTGCCTTGGGCCTGCCCCCTGGGCATGTGCATTGCACCCTCACCCCACCCCCTGCATTGCTTCTCCTTGCCTCATCCTATGGCATGAGCTTCCTGCCCACCGCCCCACCTGGCGGAGACCCCTGGATTCCCTCCCCAACACTGCCCGGCCCACACGAGCAATGTTGAGATGGCCACGCCTCCTGAGCCATGCCCAGTCGGCCATGACCACTCTGGCCACGCATCCCCACCCCACCCCGGCTCCCTGAGGACAACCACAATGCTGATGAGGCCTGCAATGAAATCGAGTTTGACACCCCTGGCCTATACTGAAGTAGTTTTTAAAACTCTGAAGTTGATTTTCTTCAGATGATTTCTCGGTAGTTTACTTAGTGTTTCTTACTCAACCTTTCCAATTCTGTTGCTTCTGCTTCCTCTGAAATGCCCCCTTTAAATGACATGGTTCATCTACAGGACCTACAAAACTCCAAAATTACAAGATACAGGCAAAAGTCATAAATGATATTAGATTTAGATTTTATTGAACTTCTATACCACCCTTCTCCCAAAGGACTCATACAGCCATATTAAAACACATATAAACCACAAAATTTAAGAACAATTTAAAAACAAATATATAAAATTTGGCCCACGAAATTAAAAACTAACAAACACCCAATTTAAAAATTCCTATTAGGCCAGCCCGGCTTGTTGGAATAAAAGAATCTTCAGGGTGCGGCGAAAGGTATGCAGGTCGGGGATCATATGAACCTCTAGCGGCATCTCATTCCAGAGGGCTGATGCCCCCACAGAGAAGGCTCTCCCCCTGGGTGCCGCCAGTTGACATTGTTTGGCCGACGGCACCCTGAAGAGCCCCTCTCTGTGGGAGCGTATTGGCCAGTGGGAGGCTATCAGCGGCAGAAGGCGATCTCGTATATACCCCGGTCCTAAGTCATGGAGCGCTTTAAAGATGGTAACCAACACCTTGAATCACACCCAGAAGACTACCGGGAGCCAGTGCAGCTCACGCAGGAGAGGTGTTACATGGGTGCCCCATGTCACCCCCATAATCACCCGCGCGGCCGCATTCTGGACCAGTTGGAGCCTCCAAGTGCTATAAGCCTCCAAGTGCTATAAGCTATAGATATAAGTGACCTTTGGAATAATCAGTTTAGATGTCCCAAATCTTTTT